TTTTTTTTTTTTTTTTTTTTTTTTTTTTTTTTTTTTTTTTTTGGCTGGAGCTGGAAAATCCCAGGGCTGCGAGCCAAAGGGCCGGAGATGCTGCGGGATGCTGCGGCGTACCCCGGGACGTGCCGCTGCCATCCCAGCGCTTCTCCCGGGACCATTTGACTTTAACGCTGGAATCTGGTGGCGGCTCGGTTGTTCCCACAGCTCCGGTGGGGCCCGGGGGTGCGGTAATGCCGAGTTTCGCTCCATCTGCCGGACAATCCCCCCCTTGTCCGCGTCTGTCTCCGGCAGCTGTTCCCCAAAGTTTTCCCGAACAGTTGCTCTTTTTTCCCCTCTGTTTGTCTGCAGGAGCCGTCGGCTGAAATCCTGTTCCCCCACAGGGAGGGGAAGCCCTCGCTGGAATCCCGGCGGGCAGTTTTAGGTTACAGATCGTATTAAGGGGGGCTGGGAAAAAAGGGCTCATGTGATCCCGAGGGATTTGGGGAGGTTTCTAAAACCAAGTCGCCTCTTCTGGTGTGTCGGCATTGGTGCACCGGGCTGCTGGAGCTTGGAGTGGCCCCAAAAGCAGCCAGCTCTGGCACTGGTGGGGTTATTTTTTGGTTTCCTCTGGTTCTTGCAGGGGTAAATTCTGTCGGTTTGAGGAGTGTGCCAGGGCAGCTGGGTTTCCCAGCATCACCAGCTGAGGATTTGTGCCTGCATACCCCATCCCCATTTGGGATGGCCCCAAGCTGCCCCCAAAAGCAGGTGCTGAGTCCTGGGCAAAGCTCCAGTGGCAACCAGGAGCTGGCACCCTCTGGCTCCTGCACCTCCTGCATCCCTGTGGCAGCGTTTTGTTCATCTGAGGGATGTCCTTAATCCTTGGATGAAGCTTGGCCTCAAATCAGCTTTAGCCCTGCTCCTGGCGGTGTTCAGATCCAGTTATCAGGATCTGGAATGCTCTGGTGAGCCGGGATGCTCGTGGTCCCTCAGCCACAGTGGGACCTTCCTGTCACCTCAGTGTGTCCCTGGAGTGCTTGAATTCCACAGCCCCAGAGAATTTAAATGCTTCACCTTAGGTTTAAATTCCAGTTTCATTGACCTATAGGGTGGAGAGCTTGCATGGGTGTCACCATCCCCTGGGCTCTCGAGGGGCACATCCCAAATCCCAGGGGGGTTCAGGAGCTGGGCTGGCCGGCTCCATGCTGGCACCCTGCAGTGCTCCTGTACTGGGAGCTACTGGAGGGAGCTGGAGTACGGAGGATGCTCGTTTTGGGTTCTGCCATCGTGTCCCAACCCACCTCAACACCCCCAGGACCCCCCTCACATGTAATTAGCTGCATCTCGGGGTGGTGCTGGCCACTAATTAGGAGAAACTTGTCAGGCACAGGCTGTAATGAAGCTCTGCTGGGCCTTTCACAGGACCGTGACAACCGGGGGGGAATTTCCATGCGGGAGGCAGGATTTCCATGCAGGCGGCAGGATTTCCATGTGGAGGCTGGATCTGGGTTTGGGTTACTATTTATTTTCTCCTTCCTTCCCCTATGCTGTCAGCACAGATTTTAATTTTAACAACCAATTGCTGAGCCCAAAGAGGGGGGATGAGACTCTGGGAAACACCTCTTGTTTTGTTCGATTTTTCATTTAAATATTTTTAATTTTTTTTTTTTGGTGACTTCATTTCCTTGTGACAGATGCAAAAGGATTTCCTCCGGAGCAGGAAAAACCTTTCTTTAACTTTGTTAAGAATCATCTGCTCCTTGCATGAATGGTGTGACTCCACTGCTGAGGCTGGTCCCTCTCCAGCTTGGGATGGAGCTGGGATCTCCAAGGGAAGGGGTGATGCTGAGCATTCCATGAAATCTCTAAAGAAAACTTTCTGAGGGATGGTCAGGGCCACTGCTGTAGGGCTATTTAGGCAGATGCCTTGGAGCATCCCAAAGGGGAGAAAAAGGGCCCCCAAATTACTCCTTCGGCGGGATTTTCCCTGGATGATGACGCTGATGTTCCCCCTTGGGCAGGTCTCCCCAGGTGATGAAGAGGAGCGGGATGCACTGGTGGCTTGTCACCGTCCTGGGGGTGAGTACGGCCTTGTCTATCCCATCCCATCCCATGGATCCCATCCCATGGATCCCATGGATCCCATCCCATGGATCCCATCCCATGGATCCCATGGATCCCATCCCATGGATCCCATCCCATGGATCCCATGGATCCCATCCCATGGATCCCATCCCATGGATCCCATGGATCCCATCCCATGGATCCCATCCCATGGATCCCATGGATCCCATCCCATGGATCCCATCCCATGGATCCCATGGATCCCATCCCATGGATCCCATCCCATGGATCCCATGGATCCCATCCCATGGATCCCATCCCATGGATCCCATGGATCCCATCCCATGGATCCCATCCCATGGATCCCATGGATCCCATCCCATGGATCCCATCCCATGGATCCCATGGATCCCATCCCATGGATCCCATCCCATGGATCCCATGGATCCCATCCCATGGATCCCATCCCATGGATCCCATGGATCCCATCCCATGGATCCCATCCCATGGATCCCATGGATCCCATCCCATGGATCCCATCCCATGGATCCCATGGATCCCATCCCATGGATCCCATCCCATGGATCCCATGGATCCCATCCCATGGATCCCATCCCATGGATCCCATGGATCCCATCCCATGGATCCCATCCCATGGATCCCATGGATCCCATCCCATGGATCCCATCCCATGGATCCCATGGATCCCATCCCATGGATCCCATCCCATGGATCCCATGGATCCCATCCCATGGATCCCATCCCATGGATCCCATGGATCCCATCCCATGGATCCCATCCCATGGATCCCATGGATCCCATCCCATGGATCCCATCCCATGGATCCCATGGATCCCATCCCATGGATCCCATCCCATGGATCCCATGGATCCCATCCCATGGATCCCATCCCATGGATCCCATGGATCCCATCCCATGGATCCCATCCCATGGATCCCATGGATCCCATCCCATGGATCCCATCCCATGGATCCCATGGATCCCATCCCATGGATCCCATCCCATGGATCCCATGGATCCCATCCCATGGATCCCATCCCATGGATCCCATGGATCCCATCCCATGGATCCCATCCCATGGATCCCATGGATCCCATCCCATGGATCCCATCCCATGGATCCCATGGATCCCATCCCATGGATCCCATCCCATGGATCCCATGGATCCCATCCCATGGATCCCATCCCATGGATCCCATGGATCCCATCCCATGGATCCCATCCCATGGATCCCATGGATCCCATCCCATGGATCCCATCCCATGGATCCCATGGATCCCATCCCATGGATCCCATCCCATCCCATGCGGGACACGGCCATGGGTTTGCATCCATCGCAGTGCATCCAGCGAGTTCACATCCCTCGCACCACTGGAGAAGGCCGGCCGCTGGCTGGGTGGCAGCAGTGGCACCACCCGTGACAGGGTGGCATCTGCCAGTGCCGGGCAGGGGCAGTGGGGCAGCAGCAGCAGCCGGCTCTGAGAGCTCTGTTCCTCCCCAGGTGCTGAGCAGAGCTGCCCAGGGGGCCGGGAGCTGCAGCGCCCCGGAGCCGGGGACAGCGGGATGCCCGCCCGGAGAGGAGCCCACCGGGGTAAGCCGTGCCCACCTGCGGCACCCGCAGCCGGAGGGAGGCGGCGGGAGCTCACTCCCGTTCTCTCACCGCAGGATGCAGCGGGGACCTGCCGAGCTTGTCCCCCCGGCACCTTCTCCCCGGGGGACGCGTCCTGCGCCGCTCACACCCGGTGCCGCGCCGGGAACAGGATCCTGCTGGCGGCGGGGACGGCGGCGAGCGACAGCCGGTGCGGAGCCTGCCTGCCGGGGTGAGCCCAGCCGGGGCACGCTGAGCCCCAGCCCCGCCCGGGCTCGGGGGTCGCGGCCTGACCCTCCCCTCCCGCCCCGCAGGTTTCACAGCCCTGGAGGGGAGAGGGAGCCCCGGGGCCGGTGCCTGCCCTGCGCCGCTGCTCCCCGCAGCACCCCGGGCTGCCCAGGTGGGTGCTGGAGCCGGAGGTGACGCCCCAGGGCTGGGGGCGATGGAGGAGCTTGCGCCGGCCCGGGGATGCCACAGGGTGTGTTCCCCCGGGATGGGCCACGATGTCCAGCTGAGGATGCCTCAGCTCACGACACAAGCGGCTTCTGCTTCCCTGGGGTCCGGCGCTGGTGCGGGGCTCCTGGGGAAAAGGGGTTTGATGGCAACAAAGCCCCTCTCTGAGGCTGATCCCGCGCCTCCCCGCAGGCCGGCGAAGAGCCCGCAGCCCCGAAACGCCAGGCCGGGCATCGGGAGCCAACGGGACACGGGTGACCCTGCTGGGTGAGGAGGAGGAGGAGGCGGCAGCAGCGCAGGCAGCCGTGCTGACCATCGTCCCGGTCTTCTGTGCCATGGGATTGTTGGGAATCCTGGTCTGCAACCTGCTGAAGAAGAAGGGTTATCACTGCACTGCCAGCAAGGAGCCCCAGCCCGGCAGCACCGGTGAGCCCTCGTTGTGCCGGGACACCTTTGGTGATCTCACACCCAGCTCATCTTCCTGAGCCCATTCCTGTGGTTTCTGGTCCTCTTTGTCCCAGGGCATCCTGCTTGTCCTTGGGGTGCCTTATTGTCCATCACCGAGTTCTCCCTAACTCCTGCTCCCAGGTCCCAGCTCCATCTACCAGCTGGAGGATGCCAATGAGGACACCATCGGGGTGCTGGTGCGGCTGATCACCGAGAAGAAAGGTCAGGGGCTCCCTGAGAAGGGGGAGGATGGGGTGACCTGGGCCAGAGCCCCGTGACCCCCAACTCCTCGGTGTCCTCCCTCACACAGAAAATGCAGCGGCGCTGGAGGAGCTGCTGAAGGAGCACCAGAGGCAGCAGCTGATGCCCCCGAGCTGTGCCCCCCTCAATAAGTAAGGGTCCCCTAAGGCTGCACTGAGGACCCCCATGGTGGGACCACCCCCATGCTGATGGCATTTCCCCCCTCCCCAGGCTGCACCTCCTGCCTCAGTTTCCCCCCGTCTGCCACCACCAGCAGCACCTGCACACGGTGCAGGGACCGGCCCCGTGTGCCCGCTGCGGCCAGAAGTGGCCCGAGGCGCTGCCATCTCTCAGTGCCACCAAAGTCCCCAAGGCCGGAGCTCATCCCAGCGAGGTGACCATCCTCTCCATCGGCAGGTAAGCAGGGACAGCCGCCCGGGGTGTGTCCCCTCTGCAGCGGGGACAGGCTGACGTGATGCTCCCCAACAGGTTCCGGGTGTCCCGGATCCCTGAGGTGAGGAGCGAGGCAGGGGCTGATCCCCTCCGTGGTCCCCTCCCCGCCGGCAGCGGGATGTGACCCCCACGATGGAGCGTCACCAAGGACCCCGTGAGGTGAGGCCGTGTGCAGGGGAGCCCTGATGTCCTTCCTGGAGAAAGGGGTTCTGAAGGCTGGAAAACGGAGCATTAACGCCGTGGGGACACAGTGTGGGGACAGTGAGGCGGGAGGGAGGGGGCGTCCCTCGCTGCAGGGTGCTGGCAGGGCCTGGCACGGGCTGGCACGGCCGGGGGCTGCTCCCTGACTCATGGGCAGCTGCACGGGCTCACGTCCCCTCCTCCAGCAGCGTTGCTGCTGTGACCATCCAGCTCTGGGCCCTGCCATGAGGGGCTGGAGCGTGTCCAGGGCAGGAACGGAGCTGGGAAGGGGCTGGAGCCCCAGGACGGGCTGAGGGAGCTGGGAAAGGGGCTCAGCCTGGAGAAAAGGAGGCTCAGGGGGCCCTTCTGGCTCTGCACAACTCCCTGACAGGAGAGGACAGCTGGGGGGGAACAGGGACAAGAGGAGAGGGAATGGCCTCAGGCTGGGCCAGGGGAGGTTTGGGTTGGGTAGTGACAGCCATGGATGAGTGACACCGGCTGTCTCCTGCCACCTTGGGCGGTGCAAAGGGGCCAATCCAGGCTCACCTGTGGTCCATCCCTTGTCCTCCACAGCAGGCACCTGGCCTGGGGGCTGCCTCAGGGGTCAGTGACACCCACAAAGACCCCGTGGAGGGGATGGAGGACACTGGGCGTTGTGTGAAAGCCAGGCCCGCTTGGAGCTGCAGAGTGCTGGAGGTGGCAGCTCTGCTCCTGCCACCAGTCCAACAGCAGCACAGCAAATCCAGCATCTCGCTCGGCTGCCGAGAAGGATTCTCTGTCCCAGAGGCCTGGTGGTGGCCACAGCATGGTGGCCTGAGGGACAGTAACTCAGGAGCTGTGATGCCAGTGGTGGTGGCCATAGGAATCATCGTCTTTGGGAGCCATGATACCACAACACAGCTCCACTGGAAGGACAGAGGACACTGGATGCCATTCCATGGTCACCTTCTGGGTCTGTTGAACTTTCCAGGACCATCATGAACTCCTGATTTCCCCTCATCACCTGGTGCCAGCACTCAGCATCGCAGGATAATGAATCACTGGATCACAGAATGACTCCCCCCTTCCCAACAACCCAGCTGGGGCACCGATTTCTCCGGGCAAGGCTGGTCTCCTGCATCCATCCATCCATCCATCCATCCATCCATCATCCATCCATCCATCTCAGGAGCACATGGTGGTGGTGCTCGCTGTGAAGATCACACATTTCACTTTCCATAGGAATTGCTTCTATGGGATCACGGTGGCTTGGCCATGTTGGGATCACTGGGACAACCCACACAAGTTGGAGACCATCAACCTCAACCATCAACCCAAAAAAGGGTTTATGGCTGGTCCCTTTCACCTCTCCACAACATCACCGTGCCAAAAAAACCAACCACCAAACCCTCTCGGGCTCTTTTATTTATTTATTTAATTTTTTTTTTGGAAACATTTTAATAGTTATCGAATGTTCTACATCTTACAGTAAATATCGTACAGTTACAAACTCTTGGCTGAAATCTGTCAGGGAGACCACGACCTGATCTTCAGAACCAAAACCAGAACAGAAAACAAACAGGAAAATAACCCCAAATTTACATTTCAGATGGACAAACTGAGGCTGTGGGGCTCTCTAGGGCATCAGTCCAAGGCCATGTTCCCTACACACCTGTGAGATGTAGACTTGGAAGACGTGGTTACTCTTGGGTTTAATTTTTTTGTTGTTGTTCTTTCAGGGAATTTTTTTTTTGGTATCTATTTTTATTTAAGAGGTCCAATAATACTTAAAAATGAGCCAGTCTGGCGGTCTAAATTAATTTAAAATTAATTACATAGAAAGAGGGGTGGGAGCCTGGTGTGGGTTTTGGCCATGTTGTGGGAATGGGAGGGTTGGGGTGTGATCCTGCACCTCGCCATGCTTCCCTACAAATCCCTCCCCTGATCCTGAATCCCTTTGCTCCCAGGAAAATTCCATCTCCCAGCTCCATCTCTTGCAGGAGGATGCAGGGAGGCTGCAGGTGGCCATGTTATATCAAGATTATTCCCTATAAGCAGCACAATCGAGCGTTTCCAAACGGGAATCGCTCCTGTCAAACCACGTATTTTGCTATTCCTGCCCTGCAAACATTCCCACAAGTTCTTTTACCTGATTGCCAGAGAATCTCCAAGTGCCATGGTGCAACATGCCACAGAAATGCCTTTTCCAAGATTTCCTCCCTCCCAAGCTCCGTCAGGCTTTATTTTCCTTTTTTCCCTATGGGAATGCTAACACACAGCAGAGAAAATATTTGGAGGCTGATCCTGGCTCAGGAGCAAAGTGAAGGGAAGATGGCCAGAGGGTCACCACAGTTTGGGGATGAGAGTTGGAGGGCCTGAAAATATTGGCAGTTTAAAAAAAGCTCAAACCAAAAATACCTGGATTTATGGGTATCCAGCAGCTCTTATTGCTATTGTTGGCTGGTTGGATTTAACCAAAAATAAAGTCTCAAATGTTGTTTTCCACCCCCCTAGAAAACCAGGATCCCATTTCATGCCCTCCAGCTGGGAACTACACCATCCCACATTCCCTGTGGGGATGCGGGAGGGGATGGCCAAGGGTCAGGAGGGTCTCTCTGGGAAAGACCAGATTCAGAGGGAGGCTGGAGGAAAACCTGATGCTCTGAACATCCCTCATTAAAACAAGCTCCTTAAATAACATTTCCTGGGAATTACATCCCAGAACTGCAACAATGCTGAACTGAGAGATTTATTATTCATAAAATACAGAAGCAAATCCTTGCCAGAGGGTTCAGCCACTTGGAGGCATGATGGCCTCAGGCTTCAAGGGGCCCCTGGGGTTTGGGGGGGTCACCACTAGCACTAAAATCCTATTTCCCCCCCAAATGTCGCATCGCAGCTTGTGTTTTGAAGTAAAGGTAAGAGCAGGGATGGTTTGATGGTTCGGAGTTATCTTCCTTCCTCTTTAGCTGGAATTTTAACCTCAGACACTTCAGTGGCTGCTAAGGATGGTTTAAGCCCTCCTGCTCTTCCCCACTAATGCCTGGTGTGATCCTTCACTGTGGAAAACCCTTCTCCTTAACCAACATCAGCAAAGCCTTGCTGGAATTAAATGTTTGAGAAGCTGGTGGCCCCAACAGTGTCCCCCACTGTGACCTTCCCAGGACCCTCACTTAAGCCAAGACTTGACCAAGGGAAGGACTTGGGATGAAGGAAAGGGCAGGGAGCATCTACCCATCACCACAGCCCCATGAAGCCACCTTGGGAAGGAGCTACCCAAGCCTGGCACCTTGTGGTGGCCCCAAAGCCATGTGGTGGCCCTGGTTCCACACAGTGGCTCAAGGCTGGTTACCAAATGTCCTCACTAAAGCCTCTGACCCAACAGGTGGCAAATATTTCGCCTCTCCACACTTTGGTTAATGAGCATTTCTGCCTGGGAATAATGGGATGAGGAGCACTGAACCTGCTATTGATCCAAGCAAAGGAATTAAAACCCAACTGCCCCGTGTCAGGTCTCATCAGTGGGAACATTGGATGATCCACCACACTCAACTCCCAGGGTTTTCTCCCCCATCTTTAATGCTTTTTTTTTCCTTCCAGGAGAAAGCCCAACATCTCCTTTCCACACATAGGCCAAAATTTTAGGAGTGGTTCCTAAAGTGGAGCAGGGTGTCTGGGACAGTGGTGGGATGGTGTCTGCTGGGAAAGGTTGTTTGCAGAGCCCAGGCTGGGATCCCAAAGCTCGTTGGACCCCACAAACCAGAGAGCCATTATGCTGGGAGACCTGATTCAATGCTGACAGACAGCTCCTGGTATGTAACACAAAGTCAACATGAGAGGGGAAAAGAGGGCATCTCAGAAGTCTTCAATTCTTAGGATCTACTGGGGATATTTTGGCCCAGGTTTAACTGCCATGTGATACAAACAGTGTGGTGGTTGTTATTTCCCAAGGTCCTGTTGCTCTTTACTAATCCTTGGCTTTGCCAAGCCAAATGGGGAAACCACTGATTATTGGCTCTTTTTCTCTTTTTTCCTTCTCCTTTCCCTCTATACCAACCCGAAGTGCGCGGGTACGGGCCCGAGGGTGCCCCTTCCCCACCCCACAGCACTGGTGTCCAGTTTCCTTCACTTTATTCCCCTTGAGGCTGAGGAGGTCAACCAGAGCTTTGCTCTAATTTCCTTCAAAACCAGCAGAATCAACCAAATGACCCCCAAACAGAAGTGCCCATGCCAACACCCAACCCAACAAACCACCTGGGACCAAGCAGTGGGAGGGAAAGTCCTCCTGGGATCCCTAGGCTTTTTACTCCCCACCTGGCCCCTGCTCAAGGGAAGGAGCTCCAGGAGCTCCTCCCAGTGGCAGCAGAAGCCAAGCTGGGAGACACCAGTGAGAGTGTGGAACACTTTTGGCACACTTGAGGCAAAAATCAAAACCCAACCAAGCTTTTGTCTTAAAAAAACCAATAAAATCTCAAAAACCTTGTTTCTATGCTGGGTTTAGTGATAAGGACTTAAAAACAAACTGGCCACAAGCATTGTCTGCAAATCCAAACTGCCTCTGCTGCTCTCAAGACAACTTATTGCTCTACTTGGACACCCCAAGGGAGGATGTCACCAGCTTCTTGTCCCCGTGTCCCCAGGTAAGCCAAACCCCCCCGAAACGACCCAGATGCCCACAGCCTCTGCGTGCCCAGTGTCCTCCATCCTGGTCCTTGCCAACTGTGGATCACCTTCCCTGCTGTCACCTCAGGTGCCTTCCCGTGAAGAAGGCGACGTGTTTATTGCTATTGCTTCCTCCTCTCCCACTTCTCCAAGCAGAGCAGCCAGACATCATCCCCCTCCCCGGCCTTTCTCTGTGGTGCTGGTATTTGTGCTTGGATGAATATTTCTCCTGGGAGTCTTGGAGCTGTAACCCAAAGAGTGGGAGGAGGACACCCCAACTGCCACGGAGGCAGAGTGGTTTGG